CCACATACACACTCAGTACACCACTACGATGCTAGATGAAAGTAGGATTCGGGGCGCATCCTGGATCAATCAACACAAAAAGGAATTTTGTCCTTTAGTTAGTTTATTGGGCGGATATAGACCAGTACTAACCGGCGCCCTTTCGGCATGTAAGTTTTGAGGGTAGGGTTCTAGATCGGAACTCGCTCAGGACTTCCAGGAGCCCACCCCTTTCAAGTCGGTTAACTGGTATCTTACGAACACGTTTGGAGGACAAAAACACTGCTTGCACATCGCTTCACAGCATAATTTATATGTAAACCAAGCACGCAGTAAAACACCACTACCAGTTACTAGTAGAAGTCGAATGTGGTTAATTGTCTTGAAATCGGACTGATCTTCATCCTTCGTACTTTATTCTTTATATAATTATTCAATTCACTACAGTGCTCAATCAGAATATGCAAGAATGTAGTAAAATTGAGAATCGGTAAACTGTAAATGTTCAAAAGAGGTCTCGTCGTCAATGAGCTTCGTATCGCTGTCTGGAGGGTCGTCCTCTTCGCAAACCCCGTTCTGGAGACCATCTATGGAGTTTAGCAGGTCTATAACAAACACATTTAAGGCTAAAAAAAGTTAATGTTCTTTTAATTCCAATGGGGAAGAATTCAATAAAATTCGATAAAAAAGTTCCACTTTGTCTTATTTTTTTGTGAAATTTTGTATTTTTTGTAGCCAGTATTTTTGTAAATTGTATTGTAAAATAGTAAAAACTTAAACTACGTGAAGTGTATAGTAATGCCTATATGCGAGGACTCCCTCATTTTAAATTGAAAAATACATAAAGCAAGAGTTTTCAAGAACTTCTCAACAAGTATTTTGATTGAATGCCCCACCTCTTAGAAAACTCTCCTCCGTCTGGCTCATGTATTCCTTCTCAAAAATGAGATGGCTCCGTTCAATCATTATCAGTAGAGCTCTTGATGCCCTAAGAAAACCATCAGTAGTAGTTGCACACCGGGGGAAGAGCATCGGAGTGAACAACATCAGCACATCTAAATTACAAGATTTACTCCTTCCCTTCTGAAGTTCTTTCAAATGTGCCAGATCCTCTTCTTTCATTCAAGATTGCTAGAACGTTTGAAAGCGATTTCATCTTGGTAAATTTAGTGTTTTTATAAGACAGTATCCCTGATATGGTGCTATAATAGCTGGTAAAGTATGAAAGTTGTAATGAGGAACCCTCATGAGAAAGGGCTTTCTTGGTCTAGTCAAAGAAATAAGTTCAGTGGGGAAAAAGGAGATAGTCATGAGAGAGCGCTTTCTTGCTCTGGTCAAAGAAATAAATTCAGTGGGAAAAGTAAAGATAGTAGTGGTCACCACGTGCCTTCTGCCAGTATTCCAGACCTTGCTTTGACAACATGGCATTGGAGCTCTACATACTTTAGCTTTTCAATTCTCAATGGCAATTATGTGAATCATAGAATTTTGGGAGCATCCATTCATACTCAACACTGGCTGATAGCAATGGATCGCAAATCTCCTTCCGTAATCGAAGCAACCTGATCTGAGGAAGGATTAGCCATAAATTATAGGTCATAGTGCCTAATAACACCCGTGTAGAAAATTGCTGCCTGGAATCTAGTTTGCCTTTGCTTCCGATTAGCTTGAAAACCGTTGCTCAAACCGGAAGATCCTTCATTTTTAGCAGAGTGGAATCTCTGTAGTCTGAGAAAAGGAATAATACTTAGGCATATAAAGATTCTATTGTGGGATCACGAAGATAAAACCTCTATTGTCGAATTTATAGGAAGGTAGGAGGCATGTATTTAGAAGAATGCCCGAAAGACTCTCCTTAAGAATTGGTTCATCAACCTACATACCGGGAAGGCAATCAGGAGGTGGCCGCAAAATAGGTTTACGAACTGGGTAAAAAGCTCTATAATCCAGAAAATGATGCTTCCCAGGAAAGACCGCCTCCCAGAAATCCAGAGAGAGATGTGCAATTGAAGGATATGGGACGGGGTAGCAGAAGTGAAAGTCCATAACAAAAGGAAGTCGATGGTTCTGTCTATGAATAGTAAGTGACAACAGCAAGGAGGGATCGGATCACAACCCCTATCCGCATACTTCTGACGGCATATTTCTGCAAATTTGGAGGCAAAAAGGACCATACAGTCCGATTGACTTTTTCTTCCTTATCACATCGCAATTTGAAGTTCCGCAAGAGAGACTTTCTTACCAGTAAGCGATTGCCCTCTTTGCGATGTGAACTGAAGTATATTACGAAGAGATGAGCAAAGAAGATATACTCGTTGGCGACTCACTAAGGAAAGGGCGTCGATCGAGCTGAAAATGGTGGAACTAAAAATATTCAGCTCGACCTCCTCGACTCCATCAATGAGATTTGGAGAAACCTGACCTGACTAGATAGCGAACGACAAGATCCTGTCCGGCTGATTGGGATAGGCTCAGGAACTCCTCGTTTTCAAATAGAGGAGGCAATGACATGAGCATTTCCTACAATGGGTCATTGGTCATCAAACCCTCAGCGAACGATCTCCAAAACTGGATTTTCCAGGAAAAGAATACTTCGGTCAAGCCTATGTAGAGCTGCTCTCCCACTATCCCAGCTTCAAATGTTCTTTTGCAATAGTCAGTGCAACATGGGTCAGGATGCGTCATCACGGTCGCCTCGTCCGGTTAAGGTCGCAGCGTTCGGAGCGACCTAGTCCGGACGGGACATTATTGATGAGAGCTGAGTACATGACGTACTTCAGAAAGGGTTGCTAGTACTGCACTCAACGACAGGGGTCACACTTGTAGGTAGTGGATAAGGTAGCGGGCAGATAGACTTATGGGGCAACCTACCAGCTCGCTACTTTACCTACAAGTGTGACCCAAGTTGCTCATCCAATTGACT